TAGGACGTGCCCTGTCTACAAAACACATCTACTTCCAATGTGGGTACCTCTCTCGTTGTTGGCATGAAAGTGCTTCCTCAAGGCGACGCATGGCCAATCGCTGACGTACAGAGTAATCTTCCGGCAAAGCCTCCGACATGTTGAAATAGTAGTCCGTTTCTCCTACAACAATTGTGTTAAACAGAAATATCATTTGAACATGAAGTGAAATATCATTTCATTATTGCACCATACCGAAATATTTATCCCCTTCCTTTGGCTCTACGCGTGGGAATATCATATCTACGCTTTCCTTTGCGAAACGTTGACGCCAGTGTTCGACATATCTGCAATACAGTGTGCAAAATAAAAAGATTATCCTGATAGGAATAACTTGTACCTGTTATTTAATTAAAATGAGTGAAACTACCGACAAGGAAAATACCTTTTCGGATCGACGATAAGACCCATTTCAGAAACGACGATTTTGTGTTCTTTCAGGAGATGGCTGAAAAAGGAGCTCATGAAAAACATCATTATAGAAATTCATATGAGAAGCTCTCACTCTTCAAACATATCCATTTGCTCAGGAAGATCGAAGAACTGCAAACAGCTGAGACACATCGTTGGTCCACCCCACTTCGGAGAATAACCAACAACTGGTACAGTACCGGATAAAGTTCTATAAAAAGGAGCATATGAGCTTAGAAAAAGCCGGCACTGAAAGTACAACAAGCCCCAGTCACGAATCCCATGTCACTCATATTGACAATGTGTTATAACAGGTGTACCTGATCCTACCACGCGGTATTATAAGGTTCGGTTTTTCTGGTTGTTTCGGTCGGAGGTCATCGTCCGAGTCACTGAAAGGCTCATCCAGCTCGTCTGAAAAGATGTAACGTTACAACAATCATCAGAGAACTGGAATCCAGCCTCTGCTTGGCAATTAAAAGGAAGCCGGGAAATGGACGAGGGAACTGCTACCTGATGTTGCGGTCATTCCGTTACTTACTCTCTTCATTACAGTTGGTGGAACGAAGTGATAGAAGGAGCTGATACGAATATGTACAGTTCACCATAGTATTCTAAGGTATTTTAGGGGCGGGGAGGGGGGGGGAAAGAAGGGG